TGAATCCAAGAATTAATAAAAATTAGCATTGCTAGACAATAGACATTTATATATACTTTAACATTATGTTAATGGAATTAGAAAAAGTAACATGGCTAAATACTTTTTATATATAAAAGTAAAAGTAACAGGTATTTATAAGACAGACATTTATGTAAACATGTACATATGCAGAGAAAAGTTACCAGAAAGAAATATAGCAATATGTTAGCAAGAACTAATTCTGGATAGTAATTTCTTCATACTTCTATGCATTTTTGAGTTTTAGCAATGATAATCTACGGCAAGTTAACAGAATGTGTATATCTTAAAGACATTTTGTTGCTAAAGAGAAGCAAAGAAGCCAAGCACAGTGGCACATGCCTGTAATCCCGGTGACTAGGGAGCTGAGGCAGGAGGTTCCCAAGTTCAAAGTCAGCCACAACCACCTAGTGAGGCCCTAAGCAACTTAATGAGACTCTGTCTCAAAATTTAAAAAAAAAAAAAAAAGAATAAAAAGGGGTGGGGATGTGGTTCAGTGGTTAAGTGCCTTGGGTTCAATCTTGCTACCAAAAAGAGAGAGAGAAGGAATGGAAGGGAGCGTGGAAGAGAAAAGAAAAGGCAGAAGGAGGTCTTTCAGGCGAGAGACATTTGAAAGCTGCATGCTTTGGGAAAAAGAACAAGGAGGCTGAGGAATAGGAGGCTCTCGTTGGGGCCTTGGGTCCTGGGTCACAGACTTGAGGAGAGCAGAGGGGAGCGCTCAGTCCACTGAGGCCTGGAGGAGGCAGATTCAACAAGTGAGTCCACAGAGGTAAGGAGGTGGAGAGCCTCTTGCCTTAAAGGGGTAACAGCTGAATTCCTCTACTCAGGGTCTGAATGGGGCTTCAGAGAAGCACAAAGCTTTGGAATAGACACTGAACAGAAAGGAGAGCATTCTTGTGCTGCCTTCTCTCCAGAATATGCCTCTTGTTCATATTCCTCAAATCAATGATTGGTACTAGCGATTCTACTGACCAATAAGGTTTTCATAACTCACTCCCTTCAGCATCTTGTGAATCTGTTTTCTCTCCATCTTCTCCCTGTACTGCTGCAGGAGTTTTCTAACAGTTCTTTCTAGGCTCATTTGTTTCCTCCTACCCCCAGCCCATCCATTATGCTGCTGCCAGATCCAGCTTCCAAAAATCCAATTAGGGAGTCTGTTATGACACTTTTTAAAAGACTCTGATTGCCTTTAGGATAAGATCCAAATCCTTCTGCAGGATACATAAGGCACTTTTTAAATTTCGTTCTTGTACATTCACAACTTTATTTTTTCTCATCGTTTACTGTCCTCCCTCCCTTCCTTTCTTCTTTTCTTCCTTCCATTCACAAATGCCTACACGTTGGCCACTGTGGAGGCTAGGTGCTGGGGAGGGATATAAAGAGTCTAGACATGGTGCCTGTGCCAGAGAAACTTCAAAGTCTAGTGAGGGAATAGACAAAAATAAAAGTGATAAATGTTTAGATCTTCAAAATACATATAAGTGAATACAGAACGGAACAAATGTCAGTTCTCCAAGGCAGGAGTTAGAGAGAGAGAGAGAGAAGAGTCAGGGAAAGTTTCATAGAGGATATGACCCTCAAAGTGAATCTTGAAAGGGAAGAATTATTTTTTTTTTAAATTCTCCTACTCTTCCTCCTCCTCCTCTTCCACCTCTTCTTCCACTTCCTTTTCCTTCTCCTGCTCCTTCTCAGATGGTATTTCAGGTAGAGACACTTTCAGGAGCAGAGGTATGACACTGGGTGTGGTGTTTGTGGCCCTGTGTCACTTGATACACCTGGGGAACAGAGTACAAGACTGTGTGTGTGTGGGGGGGGGCAGTGTAGGAGAATGTGGTGGTGTGAAGAAGGAAGCAGGGACCAGGTGGTGGAGTTCTGGACTGTTATGCTTTGGATGTTGGGTGTTCCCCAAAAGCTCACGTGGACAATGCAGGACAGTTCAGAGGAGAAATGATTGGGTTGTGAGAGTCCTAACCTAATCAGTGATTTAATCTCTTGATAGGGATTAATGGTAACTGAAGTGGTAGAGTGTGGTTGGAGAAGGTGGAAATTAGGGTGTAGCTTTGGGTATATATTTGTATCTGGAGAGCGGAGTCTCTCTCTGCTTTCTGATCACTGTGATGGAGCTTCTCTCTGCCATCCTCTCCTGCCATGATGTTCGGCCTCACCTTGAGCTCTAAGGAATGGAGCTGGCCTTCTCTGTACTAAGACCTCTGAAACCGTGAGCCCTGGGATAAACTTTTTCTCCTCTATAGTTGTTCTGGTCAGATCTTTTAGTCACAGTATGGAAAAAACTAACTAAACATAGTCATTATCCTGAAGGCAATGGAAAATAATTGACAGATTTTAGATAGTGGAACAACATGAGATTTGGGACTTGAAAAGACCAAGTTGGCTGCAGAGTGGAGGGGGATCTGAGGGAGTGCAAGACACTACAGGCAGTAAGGCTGCTTTGGAGGCTGTTGTTTAGAGGAGAGATGATGAGGGCTTATAGATTTGAATTATGGAGAGAAAGTGGGTGTTTTGGATATGCTAAGGGGAGTCCCTGACTTAAGATGTGTTGACTTGAAAATCAAGGGTTGAATGTTTTCTCTCGTCTGGAAGCTAGAGCAAAATAAAGGTAAAAGGGTGAGGAATTGAATATCATAAAGATATAGGGAAGATCAGTGGAGTAGAAGGAAGAGATCAACAGAGAAGGAGGAGAGATGGGAAAGGGGAGAAAATACAGAAAAGAATTTAACAAAATCACACTACGTGCATGGGTAAATACTCCACAGTGAATTCCACCTTTAGGTATATGTATAAATCACCAATCTAAATAAATAAATAAGTGAAAGGAAGACGATCAGAGGAAGAACAGGGGAAGGGAGGAGGGAAGGGAAGAGGAGAGACCAGAGAATGAAATGGAATAAATCAAAGTCCATGAATGTATGACTTTGTCATAATGAACCCAACTATTATGAGTAATTATTATGCTCTAATAATAAAAGATGTTTTGACTTTATAATGGTGTGGAAACAATACCTACTCAGTAGAAACCATACTTGAATTTAGATCTTTTCCCAGGTGAACAATATGCTGTGGGATACTGTCCTGTGATGCTGGGCAGTGGCAGTGCCACAGATCAGTGAGGGTGGACAGTGATCCTCTACAGTGTGCTGTGTTGCTAAGCTATGATAAGGTGGGCTGGGTGTATTAGATGCATTTTTTACTTTTAATATTTTCAATATTTGAGTGTTTATTTTTGGGAATTTATATAACAATTTTTAATAATGGCCATGTTTAATAGCTATCTTAGAAACTTGCTTGAATTTTAATAATTGAGCTGATATGAGCTGCTCTAGTACACCAATGTGACTGTCCCTTTATCTGTGGTCATTCAGGCTCAGCTGCTGGGACCAACCTTATTCCTAAGCAATGCTTCTTGATGAAGCACTGCTCTAATCTTTGTGTTCCAGTTCCTCAGTACTCATGGTTCTGCTTTGTTTTTACAGAACATTTCCCACCGATATCACCATTCTCACAGAAACTTCTTTTTATTCTGAATACTACTTACCCTCTGAATGGAAGTACTAGTTTCTCTCCTACTCCCTTTTAAGATAGGGTGGATCAAGCTGTGCCAGCTCTGTACTGCACAGGGCCACTGTGGAGTGGAGACTGTTGCTTAGGCTATTATAGGCTATATTGCTTCCAATTGCTTACCTGTCCTACTACTGCTTGACTAGGTGCCCTAATGTTTGGACCTCCTTTAACTATAGCGTGTGACTCTTTTCTGCTTATCCTCTTAGCTTTTGATCTACTTTTGGACTCAAGATTTAATATTTTGTTTGCTTTGTTCATGATCTGTTTGCAGGACTGCCTTACTTTGACCTGGCCAACCAACTCAAATCCAAATTCTGATAAATAGAAACATGAGAAAGTCAGCTGATTTAAGTAGATGTTACTATTCTATCAATATCTGCCAATAGTTGCAAAGAACATGAATCCTGGAGATTCAAGACTGCTAAGAGCTTAAGTGCTTAGGTTAAAATAATGGAGCAAATGAATTAAACAAATGGTAGTTCAAAAAGGGTTCAGAAGAGATTGGGTAAACACATGGGTCTTTTATGGATTGAGTTTCTCCCATAGGAAAGACTTATGAGCTAAATTCATATTAAGCACTACATGATTTTGAAATAAGAGACACATACTTATGTGTAGTTTACTTATTTGCTATGTGAAACTAATGAAATGAAAACTTTTTATCAAGAAAAAAGGTTTGGCATTTTTTTCTTAGTGTTCAATATGTCAACACTGGTAACTTAATGTTGATAGAAAACTAAATAGATTTCAGCTTTGAATATCCTAGAATAATCAAGGAATCAACTAGAGAAGAGCCATAAGTAAAAGGAAAAGCATTTAAAAATTCACTTGGTTCTCTCAATGAGCGTGAAAAACTGGAGTTCCTAGGTGAGGAGCCATGTTCTCAGGTTGAGGTGAAGAATTGGGAAGTGTCTCAGGCTTCTTGGATGCTCTATCCTGCTGAGAGGTGACTGGGGTACTTCCTAGATCAGGAAAAGTTTTCTGTGCTTTTCACGGAACAGAATGAATTCTATGAACCTAGAGGTTTGCTGATTTTTTCACATGTCAAAAGAGCAGTTGTGTTCAATGGCAGCAAAGATCCACCCTGAAATAAGAAGTTGTGTTTCCAGCAAACATGCTGATTCTCAAATACTTCCCGTAGAAAGGGAAATATTAAATATTGTCCTGGAAAAGGTAGGGTTAAAATCAGATATTCCAAGAAATAAATAAAAACCAACTGATTTAAGAGAACTTTACTAAAGGGAAATAATTCTAAATAGAGTTGATTTCAGGGGCCATAATAATTATAATTTTTAAAATAAGATTTCATCATTTGCATGCAAATGATATAGGGGATCTTGATGATAAGAGAGTTGGGAAAAGGCTTCCAAAGAGAATTTCCTCTGCAAGGATGTACCAGGAGTTCATGAGCACACAGGATATTGTCTGAACATAATGATTTCAAAATCTCAGCTTAAAGTGACACTCTAAAATAAATTTAAAAAGGAGAAAGAGGAGAAGAAGGAGAGTCTAGATTTAAATCAAAGCAGTATAGCTCCAGAATGGTAATATTTTTCCCTCTACTAAATGGAGCAATGGCACTGATTTGCTAAAAGAGGTTTTTCTTTATCTGATTATTCTAGTTATTACTTTTGAATTCAGAAAACTGATGAGCTAGGGCCTTTTAAAGGGCTAAGTCAGTGTGCCATTGGAAGCTAAGAATAAATTGCACTGTAGAACACTCTTTTCTTTGGAACATCAACTACTGACTCTTTTATAAGGGGAAAAGTACTAAACATATCATACTCGAGCGTCTCATAACAGACATTCAATTTCCACTCAAGAGTTTTAACTTCAGTATTAACCTATGCTAGAGGCAATATATTCATCCTTGGAAAGTTATACTATGCTTTATTCCTTTCAGGGAATTGGGGATTTAGCTCATACTTGCTTGATATGCTACATGATCCTGTAAAGCCATTTTAAAATTAAAGATATTTCCCTCAGCTTTATTTTCTAAACTCTTTTTAGGTGCCAGAGCACATTGGTTGGGCTCTACATCTGATACCTGACTTTCTGGCCCTTACACTTGCATTTGTAATGGGGTAATAAAAACAGACATCTCATGTAGCTGCTAAGAGACTAGGAGGTATCTAGCAATTCCTAGAATATTGCTAACCTTAGTATATATGAATAATTATTTAATTTATGAAAACTGCCATAGAGTAGTAAAGTAGTAGATTTGAGAAGATAAATTCTTTCAGCCTCAGTTTCTTTGACATAAAATAAAGTTAATATCACCTATTTCACAGGGTGTTATAAGGATTCAGTAAGAGAATGCATAAGAAGTACTTAGTATAGGGCTAGCCTATAGAAAGTTCTTACTAACTGTAACCTACTATTATTCTACTTGAAGTTTCCCTCTCTATTTTACATCTAGGTAATTTCACAGTGAAATTTGGGCCTCAGTACAAAACAATTTACTTTTAATAATATTTTCCTTTTTTTCTTCTTCCTAAGTCCTACTCTGTTAGGAGAATGAGATAAATGTTGGTTCTTACTGTACAGTGACACTTTTCTGGATTAATTATGCATTTAAACAATAAACATTGGAAAGACAAGTTGATCATTTTCAAACAGTTCTTTTATAAAAGACTATTTAAAGAGGCATTAAAGAAATAATGTTCATTCATTATTTAATACCTTGTATCAGTAATTGCATCAGACCAGTCTGGCCATTGATCGGCTCTCTGAGCTCAGGAAGCAGAGCAAGCAGAGAACAGGCAAAGAGCCTGTCTCCTCCTGGGCTCCCCAGGACTTGCCGCCACTTTCAACTCTTCCCTCCATTCACCCTTTCTCTTTGCCCACCATTGTGCTCTGTCTCTTCCGCTTCATGAACAAGAAAGAACAAACAGCTTTCCCCTCAAACTTGTTGTTCCCTTGAAGAGTGGTTTCATCCCTTTTTTTGATTGCTAAACTTCTGCTAAACGTGATCTTTACTTCCTTAAAATCTCTCACTCTTTTCCCCCTACTTTCCCCTGTGACTTCCCAGAAATCGTTATCTTGAAAATAATAAGAACCTCCACATCATCAGGATATTTGACCATTTCTTAGTCTTCATTCTTATTGACCTGTCCCAAAACGTTGAAATCTTGACTATCTTTAAGCTTTTGAAACATTATACTTTTCTTAATGTTTTCTTATGTTCCTTGGTTTGCTTATAGAAAAATGCCAATGGTGCCAACTTTGCAGAAGACTAGGAGGATAAAACAGTGTGCTATCATTAATGTATTTAGCAATCATTAAGATTCGCTTTTCAATTTGACTATCCCCAAGCCTCAGACGTCATGGACCCTATATCTGCATTTTTGTTTTAATTCTTCCTTGATCTTTATTCTTTCTTTCTAATGTATGGCTGCACCTCTTATTTCTACCTATAATAATAAAATCATAGATGACGAGGCCAGACGAATTTCCAGAGAGACTACTCTCAATTTACAGTGAAAGAAATGGTAGTGGGTGAAAAGTAAATTAATTTGGATCAAGTCAGCTTGCTCAGAAAATAGAAATTCCATGCATTTGGCTTAAATGTGTGATCTTCCATAACAAGATGTACAAGACAATGGCATGCTAGAGTTGAGTAATGCAGCAGTTCAATGACAATGTCAAGGGCTCAGGCTATCTACTGGCATTGCCATCCTCAGAACATTGGTCAGTTCATGGGCCAGCTCCTTGTTTGTTCAATGGCTATAGCAGTTCTTGGTGTCCCATCCAGAACCAATGATATCCAAGAAAAGGAGAGGCCATTTCTTGCTCTGTAGCTCCCAATTCCTTTATTTCTGGAATGCTGGGGATGGAATCCAGGGCCTTGCACATGCTAGTCATACTATCACTGAGCTAGACCCTCAACCCCTGCATGACTCCCTTTCAGAGTGAATATACACCACACTGAAGCACAGAGCTGATTTTTCCTCATGCCTCACTGGCAGGACTTGTGACATGCCTTGGGACTTGGACACATGACTGTTTTAGATCAGTCAGAATTTACCCTTTGAGTCTGAGTTTGTCTCCTCTGACACATATGACACTACCACAAACTAAATCTAGGCTGAGACTGAATCTAGTTTCTTTTAGATTGGAAAGGAGGAAGGTGCAATGGGAAATGGATGCTGCCGTTGTCTCACCAGTGTCTGCCATGGTCTCATAGTGACTTAGTGGCAGTACTGTAACCAGATCCCAGGTTTCCTGATTACTTCCCAAACTTCTTCCAATAATTCTCTCTTTTGCCTCATTCAGTGCAGGGGATTGATCCCAGGATCTTGTGTATCCCAGGCAAGCACTCTACCATTAAGCTATGTTCCAAAGCCTGTTCTTTCATTAATTTTTGTTGCCTCTCAACATTGTCCCATATCACATTCTCCGATCTGTTCACTATTTTCTTCTAAATGTGCTATAATCTTCTTCACTGTTTGTCCATCTTTGACTCCCTCTTCTCCTTTGTTTTCCACAACTATACACTCCCCTAATCTTCTTATTTACTCTCTAGATAAAAAAAATCTCATACATTCATCCTTCCTTTTCTATTATTACTATTATTTCCAGGCCATATCATTTAAAAATTTTTTTTAGTTGTAGGTAGATGCAATATCTTTATTTTATTTTTATGTGGTGCCGAGGATTAAACCCAGGACTTCATATATGCTAGGCAAGTGCTTTACCACTGAGCCACAACCCCAGCCCCTGGGCTATATCTTTATTATAGTTAGTTGGATTATTACAATAGTCTAATAACTGATCTTCCTGACTTGACTTTCTTTCCAACCCTCATCAAGTTGCTTTTCAAATTGTTTGCATATTGTCTTCCTCAGACATTCCTCTCACCTTTGGAAAAACTTCTGTAGAGGGATGCCCAGTGAAGTTAAGTGATAATAATTTTAAAAAATAGAAAAAATTGCAAACTCAAAATTGTTTGTTTGTAGATTATTTTTCTAGTGTTACAATTTATGAATTTCCTTATAGTAGATATTCTTTCACTTGGGAAGATTATTCCAATTAGTCTTTTTTAGATAAATGTAAAGCCAAAAGGTACCATTGTCCACAGAAAAGGGTAAAACAAAACTACTATTTTATATTGAAAAATACTCTTTTTATTTGAGGTTGGAAAAAAAGAAGGGAGATGGATATATTTGCATATAGTCTGAGGATACTTCTGGGACATATTGGGGGGAAACAGTGATATTTTCGTTTTTGAAGTTTAACATTATTAGTACAACAGCAAATGGATTAAGAGAGGCCTAACTGAAGTCATTTAACAAAAATATCAGATGCTTTTGAAGAGAAACTCACCATAAAAGAAAAGAGAACCTGGAGTTGGTGACCTAGCCACATAGTTATAAGAATTAGGATGAGATTATAGTTATAACATAATGCTAAGTATTTGTATATCTAAACCTAAAAATGTTTCTGTAAAAAGCACATATATATATATATATAAATGATATAAAAGTAGCCCACATAGGGCACTTATGAGTGGAGCTTGAGGGAGTGGAAGTTGCTGAGTGAGTTAGTGATTGATGTGTGAAGGCAAAGGCCCAAGACATTACTGCACATGACTGTGGACTTATAAACACTGTACACTCAGGCTACACTAAATTTATTAATTTTTTTCTTTTTTGATAATAAATTAATTTTATCTTACCATAACCCTTTTAACTTTATAAGCTTTTAATTTTTTAACTTTTTTTTTTTAATATTTATTTTTTAGTTCTCGGTGGACACAACATCTTTGTTGGTATGTGGTGCTGAGGATCAAACCCGGGCCGCACGCATGCCAGGCGAGCGTGCTACCTCTTGAGCCACATCCCCAGCCCCACTTTTTTGTTTTTCAATATGGAGGAATGATCCCAGGGCCTTGTGTATGAAATGATCTCCCACTCCTACCCCTTACTTTTCTATTTGACTCATGTATCATTCTTAGCCGAAAACACAAGCACATTGTACAGATATACAGATATATCCTTATAGAACAAGGATATACAAAAATGTTTTTTTTTATATCCTTGTTCTATAAGCTTCTTTATATTTTAAATTTATTTTTTACTGTTTAAAGTTTTTGTTAAAAACAAAGTCACCAGTACACATTAACCTAGGTCTGCACAGAACTAGAATCACCAATATCACTTTCTTCCACCTCTTCTTGTCTTCCTAGAAGGTCTTCAGGAACAACAGGCATGGAGCTGTGGTCTCCTGTGATAACGAGTCCTTCTTCCAGAATAACTCCTAAAGAATCTGTCTGAGGCTGAGTTATGGAAAACTTAAAAAATAAGTAAAAGCATTACAACTAAAATAATAAAAAGTTTAGCATAGTAAATACATAAACCAGTAACAGTAGCTTATTATCAGGTACCATGTAGAGTACATAATTGTATGTGTTGTACTTTTATGCGACTGGCAGTGCAATAGGTTTGTTTACACTCACATTGCCACAAACCCTTG